GACCCACCGTGACGTCAGGGCTCGCCACCCCAACTGTCAAATCGGGCCGAATCGGGAAGCGAGAGGAGACGAAGGGAGGGCGAATTCCTCAAACATTCCACCGACGGTTCGATAATTACACGGCGCGACTGGGGCAAACGACCAAGCTCGAAGCCCCCATAGCTGGGGGAGGAGAATAAAATGTCACCTGTGCATTCCACAGTAAGAGCCCATCGATGCTACGTCCGCACGCCGTTGCACCCTAGATGGTGGCCTACTCAGCCGTTTACCGAGTGCACGGGTTACAGAGCTTTATTTGTTTCTTTTTTTTCCCTTAGCTGTAGTGTAGATTGTAGGTGGAGTTTTACGGTTCTCCGCGGTCTGTTTTGGAGCATTTTTCGAGGATGAAAGGAACGAAAGGTTACATGCACAGCTGATCACAGGGGAACGCAGAAAGAAGATACCAGCAATCCCATCTGCTACGAAAAAGCTACTGCAACTGAAGTCTCCCATAGTTCTTCTACCTTATTGCAGTTCTATGCGTTCAGTAATTTTTATTATTATTTATATTTACATTGGATAACTGATTAGTATAAATTTAACCAGAATTATATCTTCATTCGACAAAGAAAAAAGTGAAAAAATGGCTACAACCACTCAACTAAAAAAAAAAAAACTAATTTTAGAAGAAACCAAAATGTCTAGGTCGACAGATAGCCTCTTCTAATGATTACATCACCCTCCCAACATTTTCATTAATCGAAGCCTCATCCGGTTTCATCTCAATTTCGTTGCTTCCCGCGCATCTGAAGCAGAAGAAGGAGGTCGAGGAACCGGATAGAGAGATAGATGAACCCATCCTACGGTTCAGTTCCCATCATCATCACTTGGCCCGATCTGAACGATGAGAGCGATCATTGAAGCCGCACCTCGCATTCCTCCCCCCCCCCCCCCCCCCAGTTCTCTTTCCCACGCACGTGGATGCACTCGCCGAAACGGTCCCGTTGAATTCGAGGGTGAGTAAATTCTATACGGAATGAAATCTGGAAAAAATTATGTTCTTTGGGGGACGAATGGAATTTAAATGCGATCGGCATTTAAATTCCAGACACAGCCTTCGGGTCTCTAATTTGCGCGTTGCTGTTTGTGTATATATGCATTTCGTGCTACACTCAGTATCTACACGCCCAGAGCCACAGGAAGGACAACTTTCTCGAGAAATGTCAAACAATCGCACGAGAACACGCCGTCGAGATCAGCCAAATGAAAAGATACTTCCGCCCTGGCATTTCCGCGACGATTCCTGATAATTCCCTGAGGCAGGAGCCGATGCCAAGAGCATCGCGTATCTGTGAAGCAAACTGGTATCTCCCAGCATTGAATGCATCAGTTTCTTGTTCGCGATTGTCATTGTCTCGTAACGTGATTGTCTTTGTCTTGTAACGCGATTGTCTTTGTACACGAGAAAACCTCTGTTCTGGGACTCCGCGATGTTTCGTGGGGTTAGGTCTATTTGGCGATCTCGTGTTCTTGTCATATTTGAACACGCATTTGATGCATGCTGAGGACGCGACGCATGTCGGTGATTGTAAATAGTGTCAATTGCAAGGAGCCAATGGCAAACGACGACTTCAAATTTACTTTCCTGGCGTTTTATTTTCAAACTTCGATGATCCACGTCACCGCCATCTTTAATGCCGCAGAGAGCTGAAAACGACCGAAGTCCACAGATCACGAAGCAGCACACAATTAAATGCATTCATTAATTCTGTCGCCCCTCCAGCGCCCTTACAAGATCGTTACATAGTCTGGAGTTTTGCCACATATTTTGCGGTCACAAGCCTCAAACGACAACCACTTAAACAAGAGCCTTGAAAACTTCCATTACCTTTATGTTCGTAGTAGAATAACAATCGATGCGAAAGGGCGTAACACAAATTTCATTACTCCCTCTAAACCGCAATGCAATTAGCTTACCAGATTCCCCGCCCGCCCATCTACAGAGTCGATTATATCCGCTTCTGTTTGAAGTGCCGACGAGATGAGGCTTTCACCCTTTCAGTCCTGGCTTTTTAAAAATATTTTTCTGGGCTTTCTAGGTATGCAAGGACCTTGAGGCCTAGCGGGACTTCCGAGTCCCTGTGACCTCTTTTTGGAATTTGCATTTTTGAGGTTGATAACGTTTCATCGTGGACGGCCGCTTGAGGAAAATCCGTTTTTACATAATTTATGCTTTTAAATTCAGGACCGAAAGGCTTAAACCCGTCCCAGCTAGAATCCTTGCCAGAAACCCGCTCCCAATCAGCAACGGCTCCAACAAATAACTTCAGGCGACGAACCGCCTAACCTGCCACCAAACTGCCTCGCCTATCACCAAATGCCTCACCTGCACGGCCTGGACGGTGACCAGAGGACAGACAGAACGACTGGGGGACTCGGTCTGCTCGAGACGAGACGGATCCGAGCCCTGATCGTCGTCGCTCTTGCTGCGACTGAAATTCGGGAGGGAGAGGCGACGACGCCGAGCGGATCGCAGCGTCCGTCGGACCGTGTTCATCATCGACGACAGGGGCTTCTTATGGCCCGACGGCATCTCGGGCGAGCACTGGCGACGCGTTCGGCACTTCACGCACACGCGAACGAAATCGTGGTCGCGGAGAAGGGGGACCGCGACGATGACGAAGCTTGCGAAACGATTTTTTTTCCCAGGCGGTGTCGCAACGGCCCCGGTCGTTACGTCCGCTTTACTGCGACCGTGGAACGCGTACTCGGCACGGTGAAACGCGTACACGCCCGCTGGATCGCACTGCGGTCATCCCGCACGTTCGTCTGCAATCTGCCGGGACTCCTCTCCGCTTCTCCATATACCAGGAAGTCATGGTTCCCTGGGATTTTCTCACAGTTGGGAAACCAACTGTCGCACCGTGATCCCATGCCGCCTTCCGGCCATCTTTCGCCTTCTTGAAGGACATCTTTTCTTTTTTGGCTTCCACGAAATTATGCCGCTCCTTTCCCTTTTTTTTATGTGAGAAGGGGAGGAACTCGTTTCGGTCCCAATTTTCTAGCTTTTCCCCTCTCTCTCTCGCACCGTCCTCATCCCATCTAAAACCACTTTCGACCGAATCGTTGAACCCATCAGCAACGACCGAAGCCGAGTAAGTGGGGGATCCGGGGGGGGGGGGGGGGGGGGGGGGGGGGGGCGGGCGACCGCCCCCCCAAAGCATCTTGTATCCCTGAAAGAGAAGCAAAAACCAGTTAGCAGGAAGAAAAAATAATTTCGAGATCATCGATGGATTTCTCGCATATTTTCATTAAAAACCAACCACGGCCAGCACGGTGAATGGATCCGATAGATCATGTTCTTTTACGGCTGCGTCCTGCAGTGAGGATCCATTACGTTCTTTGCCGAGTGCGAGATGCACGCAGTAGCGATTACGCACGGGCGGACGCGCCAGGACGGCACGCACGAACGGGCGTTACGTCCCCTGCACGCACCGTGTCGCTCCACGTGCGAGCCGCGGAGGGGGCGTGGCCGTTGTAGGTCGTTGAGACGGGGAAGCCGGAACGAAGATGCAGGGTTGTTAGAACGAGGATGCAGGGTTGTTAGAATGAAGATGCAGGGATGTTAGTTCGAGGATGCAGGGATGCCCTGAGGGTGGTTTTCACCGGGATGCATCAATTATAAAAGTGGTACGGTTAGGCCATTTCGCGTGGTTCCCGAGAATCCGGGAGGAAAAAACTTTCTCTTCTCGGTAGCGCCGCAACCCGCATCCATAATCCGATGTTAGGCCGAAATTGCCTCGAACGATACACGACGGGGGTCCGTCACCTCGAGGAAGGATCCGGGACTGACCTGAGCGGGTCGAACGGCGGCCGAGGTCAAGGTCAGGGGCTCGTCGTGGGACGAAGCGCTGGACACCTGGCGTTGGAACCAATGGCCGTCCGGCAGCTCCAGCTCTGCCGGATCGTCCCGCTTCCTGCCGGATCCGGGCGTTGAGACCATCGCTCGCGATCGACTACGCAAAAGGGGGATTCGAAGGACTCACAAACTTAGGAGTGGCATGCCCCACGTGAAGAATGGAATCCGGGGCCTCAGGGCTTTCGACTCCACCCGCACTTCACGGCGCTTCGTCCGTGAACTTCGTCTTCGGAGGGTTTCATCCCGTTATCACAGGGCCGGATGAGACGGACCGGGATATCTGCCAACAATTGAATAGAACTGGGTGTTTCCTGAGGAAGTTGGGATTCTTCGCGTGAGGGATTAAATCTCGCACTGGCAAAAAAAAAGTACGGAATCGACCCCCATCCACTCGTTAATCATCGAGGCTACTTTCCTGCGATGTGAAACGTGGACCACACAAAGACAATGCATGCACACAATCACTCGGAAATCGCTCTCGCTCTGTATCAGGGCAGTCCACGAAAGGATTCGAAATTGCACAGGATTCCCTAGGAAGCCGGAGCAGGATGTTCTAACCGGCACGTAGGGACACGGAACGGGAACGAAATGGAAAGCAAACACGTCGAAACAAGGCAAGGGGGACAGAGATCGACTGACCACATGCGTGCGAGCGTGTGACATGGAGGTGTGCCCGAGGCTCTTGACCCCAGCGCTTCTGCCATCTGTGAGAGGAGAACTCCATCCCTCGATTCCGCGTTGCTCCTCTAGGTGGCAGAAGTGGCCGGTTTAATATTCAATATGGCCGCTATCTCATAGTTTTTATGTTGAGTACCACGTGGCTGTTTTCTTTCCGAAAGAAACTTCCATCAGAGTCTCAGCACTTTTTCGCAGCAACATGAATATCTTACCAAAGAAAAGGTGAGTAGATACACTCTTATGTGGGCCTAGTTTCTGGCTCAGGAAATCTTTCATGTGCAAATATCGCAAAGTAAGTCTTGGAAATGAGTCAGGCCTACTTATCTCTATAAATTCGTTAGCCATGTCATAATGAGGAAGCGAACTGTCACATTCGGAATATATACTGTCCTCCAAATTAATTAATTGAGATAGGATAGAAGTGATGAAGTTTGAATGGAGGAAGCATTAACCTAAGTTTGAATTAAACTTTGAAGAATCAAAGTATCCAGGCCACACCTTCCTAATGTTATTCTTTTCAAAAAACAGAGTAGGATATCCTGGTAAATTTGCAATTTACTTTCATGAACTATATATATATTTTCAGATTTTCTCACTTCTGCTTTGAATAGTAAGATAAGTTAGAATATTTTCTTCTCTGCATTCAAATAGTTAACAGTTATCTGTAAATCTGAGCAAGACTTGGCCAACTTGGACTGATTTACTGATATTAGTTATGAGAAATGTAATACTGTCAAACTGTGCCTATTGGTAGAATCAGTATGTATTTCTTCCCTTCATCTTTCTATGACTCCAGTTTCATGAGTAATTGCCTGTGGCCTAATTACATTGTGAGTTTTCTGTAACCCCGATCAGATGGCATGTGAGGACAAAGGACAACATTGCCCGGGTTCGTCGAGATGAGGCGAAAGCTGCTGAAGAGGAGAAGGAAAAGGAGAGGCGAATCAAGCTAGCAGTAAGCTTTTGTCTTTATATTTTTTAAAATCATTTACTTGAACCAATTCAATATTTTAGTGTGAAGTGATGAGGCTGGATATATGTACTTGTGTGATCTTCACCCCCACAGGAACAAGAAGCTCGCACGGCCTTCCTTCGAGAGAAGGCCCGGGAAAAGCGGTTGAACAATGGAGAAATCGTTGAAGAAGTTATCGAAGAAAACCTGGTTGTTGCTGTACCGGCAAATCCTCCATCATCTGGACACATCAACTTCTTTCAGGAGTTCGAAGAAGGCCTGAAAGTGGGTGGGACGAACCCAGAACACGAGAAAGAGAAGAAGGAGGAGCAAGAGAAATACGAGAAGAGCATCGGGCTGCTCACGTATCTCGGTCAGAGTTCCCTCGAGGCCCAGGGATCGGGTCCCTGGTATGAGAGGATCCCCGATCGCGAGAAGGAGATGGACTTGAGGGTCTCGAGCGTGAAGGCGAAGAAAGAGATGGACCCACTGAACATCATGCGCAAGTACCTCGACTGCCCGGGTGTGAAACGGGTGGCTGCGAAGGAAGCACGGAAGCGGAAGGCAGACGATGTTCCTCTCCGCCCGCAACATCATGCAAAAAAGTCCAAAAAGGAAAAGAAGCACAAGAAAGAGAAGAAGAAGAAGAAAAAGAGAAATAGGAAAGAAAGCAGTGATTCATCTTCAAGTGATAGTGAAGCAGAAAAGAAAGCGAAATTGGAAGTGCTCCGGATGGAACGTCTGAAGCGGGAGGCAGAGGAGCGATCGAGAGCCGAACGCCTCCTCGCGGCCGACGCGAAAGAACCCGAGAAGCCGGCTCAGGATCCGCGAGAGCCGGTTGTGGCGCAGAAATACAGCTCCCAGTTCAATCCTCACCTCGCCCGGCAGAATTTAAAGCCCAGGACCTCCTGGATCCCACCTTGACTTGTTTGAACTGCTGCCAAAAAATTTGTCAAAATGAGTGAAAAACTTTTTGAAAGTTTTCTTTTGATGGTAGGAAGCCTTTCTGAAGTACAAACATCAATTGCATGGATGAGGTATGATTGATTACCTGATTTTTTCACAAACAAAAAATGCATGTGGCCTCACCTGCTGATTGTAGGTGTGAACTGTCACCATTGAGGTTGAATGCCCGAGAGCATGAACAATCTTAGAAGATTCCACACAAATACCTGAATTGAACCAACATCATGTAGCTATGATACCTCTGTGAATGTACCAGGATTTTGATGGGAAGTAATCAATTTACTGGTGCAAGTAATTGTCCTCTTGGGAAGACATGGACACACTTACCTTATGCACGCTCACCAGCAAAACTCATGAGAATAAAATGTTATTAATCTAAGCATCAAATGGTACATTACATTCTGGGATATCCAATTTCTTTTACTATGGACATGGTGGTCTTTAATGTGTCATCACTTTGGTCATTACTCCAGATGGGCCAAGTTCTTGCCATGAAAATCCAAATGGTATTTTTTAAATGATTCCCTGCAAGTTCGGATCAGAGGGAATCGAGAGCATTTTTAAGTGAAAATGTCTCCTTTTGAGGTGAACACTAGATGCCAAAGATGTCTTCCAAAGAAACTCGATGCTCAATCTTCGGACATGGTTTCCCGTGGTCACCTGGATGGGGCATCTGTGAATGTGTGAGTCTCTCACCGGTTTTATCACACCTTACAGCTGCAGCCAGTTGTATTTTTAAATGGAACAAAACACAACGTTCATGCTGACGAATGGCGTGTCAAGATATTGCTCCGAGATTTTGCTCTTGCCCATTTTCATCTGAACCTACCGAATGAGGCTCGGCATCATCTCCTAAATTTGTTTCGCTCTCCTTCATGCCATCTGCTGTCATCTCTCACCTGCAAATGGGACAATGCCTTAACTTCCCGGTATATTCTCGAGTAGAGAAAGGCGAAGTGGGGTGAATCGTAAAATGGACTTGGACTAACGAGCCGTGACATGGACGGTTAGTAATTTCCAACGCAACTTAAAAGACCTCTCAACCCCCCCACCCATTTCTTAAGGATCATTTCACGCCCTGACCTCTGACATGTGGCAGTCAAAAGTGTACGGGAATTTCGCAGTGTCTCACTCGACCGATCACCGTCGCCTGCATGATTGCCGCCAATGGCACTCATCTGGAATGAGGACCGCAATGTCGTCCTGCGTTCTCAACAACTTTTTTTTTCACATAATCGTTTGCGGCATTCCCATCGAGGGGAAACGCCGTTCGATGCTCTAAATCCTCGGTGGGACGAAGCGTCAGACTCCGATGCTGATTTTTATTTACCTGAGGCCGCAACGTCGAAATTTGGTCGAGTTTCGGGGGAATCACTTTGCGATGAACGTTTGCAAATAAATTTTTTAATTAGAATAGCGGACCGCGTTGGTACAAGGTCAAGTCATGTGTTTCTTTGAATCGAAAGCCCTAGGCCGAGGCAAAAGAACAAGCTGAGAAATGTCGGCGGCACGTTCCAATTTTTTCATGCCCATTGCATGTGTAAGCATTTCTGTAAATGACGATTGTATAATGCTCCGCTGGGATCCAGCTGGTGTCCCGAACTCGTCCCTTCGCTAGGCCCGTTCTCGCATTTTGTTCCGCTAGCCTCAAAAAAAAAATATATACGACTACATGATTCTCATAGAAAGACATGAGGATTAGATAAACAGCGGATAGGAGCCTCGCGCCTGCGACCTCAACCTTCCCCACGATCGAGCAGACTGAGGGAGGAGAGTAGAGCGTGGCGAGCAGGCTCATTTTACTGCGCATGCGCAGACTCGGGACCGCGCACTAGTCTTTGTCCCGTCTCTCGAGGCCGTGATCGTATACCCTCTCCTGAGTCCATTCCACTCGTCGGCGGCCCAGTGGCGCAACGGATAACGCGTCTGACTACGGATCAGAAGATTCCAGGTTCGAATCCTGGCTGGGTCGATTTTTTCTCCCTCATATCTTTTATTTTTTTTCCCGTTTCCCAAACATTCTTTACTACCTGTAAAATGTACAGCATGGATAGAGCGCATGGTATGCTTGTATGGAGAAAGTGTTTGGTCGAAATGCTCAGAAGACCACCCAATGCATCGTGATAGCGAGTGACGACACATTTAATGGCCGAAGAATTGCATCAACTCGTCGGTGCGGTCGGATCATTCCGGGTCTCAACCTCAAGGACCTCTTGGGGTTTCCATGACTTTTTTGGCCGCTCTGTCGTCACGTCTGCGACCGCTGCATGCATCTGCGGTTGAATTTGGCCGATGTTGAGTCACGCGAATTCGCGACTCGATCTTCATTCGGTCTTGCATGAACTTGGCTGAAATGGCCTTGGTTGAAGCCGCAATTTTCGTGTAATCAGGGTTTACATTGAACCGTGGGTAAGACGAATGCTTATGGATAAAGGATTTTTTGTTCGTAAGAGAAAAAGGCTGAAGGATCGGGGCGAGCAGACGGATCAGCCTGTCCCGAGATACCATCGTCGGGACTGTGAAGTGTCCCGTTTCACAATGAGCTGAGGATGATAGAGAGAGGGAGAGGGAGAGAGGGAGGGAGAGAGAGAGGGAGAGAAAAGAAAGATGGAGAAAGGGATTTTCTTCGGTGTACCTTTCGGCGTAGTCTCATATGTAAGTCTTGAGTGGGAACCACGTATTTCGCACGCGTCACTTCAACGAGCGAGACTCTCGCATGTCGTTTTCCCAACTTCGCCTCTTTAGAAACTGGAGGTGAAAAGCGGCAGGTGGGGGAGAGGGTGGGGGGGGGGGGGGGGGAGAAGTCGGAATGATGACAGAACTTCGGAACTTCACTCGACCTGCGCTAGATGTCTCTCGCGGGGCAGTTCGACCATCGTCCGCATTTGCCTGCGCCTTCGGGAGAGGAGAGACGACAGGGAATCGATCTGTCGCAATCTCTGCCTCGAATCCTTTTCTACGAATACCGCGAAGTCCTCGGATGGAAAATTGAGAATTTTTGGCCATTTTGGGCCATTTTTGGCCACCCGTTTGTTAATTAATTAATGAACGCATTTGAACGCGTTGAAGTTCCACGATTTCATGAGACGAATCGGCTTCTCATTTGAGATCTGGAACGTGGGCGAGCAACTTCCACAATCCCTGAACAATCGGCAACCAACACGAGGGCAACCTCTGCTCAGTCATACGCATCTATGATTCGATCTAATGTGCTCGAAAATCCCTGGACAGCAAATTTAGATGCATTTTCATCAGACTTGAGCTACTGCAATCGGCTTGCATGAACGATTTCAAGGCAACCAGGCAACTGGCAACACACGCGATTGTTCTTCGCATCTTAGAAGAAACAGTGGAAACACGAGATCCATCTTAGGCTATAAATTCGTGAATCTCATCCTCGGGACTCAGAAAGATCGTAAATTCCCGTTTTAAATCCAAAAGATTCACGCCGTCTCACCCTTCTGAATGACAGACACGCCGATTTCACACCGCGACCAGACGAGGTGCGAGTTCCAGCCGTCCACGCGGTCCGCCGTCCGCATGAGGACTGACGCAAACGAATCACGCGACGTCGAGCCGATGCTCACGTGACCGCCAAAGTCGTTCCCGATTGGCGGATCTTTGCTGATGACGTCACCAACGACGTCCTCCGTCCC